TTCTTCATATTTTCATCGTTTTAACATTGTCTCTACCGTTTTCTTTGCATAAATAAAGTGTACACAAAAATTAATGTCGATTCAGCTTGTCTTATTGATTGCGGTTATCAAATTATTGTCTCCTCGCCGTTTGTTCATTATTTTCTGTAAGTTTATTCGTTCTTACTAGGAGTGGGAGGTTTTTCCTCTGGTGAGAACTGAGAAGGCAGAACTGCCTGCGCTCTGAACGAATTCAAATAATGTACATGTATGTCAGAGCCATGGCCTTATATTCGAAACACCGCTGCTTTCCTATCTACATGTATTTTAGATGTAAAATGACTTTTTTTCTTATGTTCACATTCCCAGCTCGAAAATAACTAATTACTTGAGAAGAAAGACAATGGTACTGAGACTCGGAAAAACGTGGCAACTACTGTCCTGGTGAATAGTATCATACTGAGCAGGGACTGCATGCACCGAGACGCAGCAGTGATGGTGGGGCATTGATGGCTCTGCCGACCTGAGGTATCGGCATCACGGCCAAAAACACGCACCAAAAAAAAAAAAGATAGGGCTGTAGATCTACGAGTCAGCAGCGAAAAGAAAGGAAGGGTTAAAGGGGAAGTTAAGGCAAAAATTAAAATTTCACCAGTTGTAGTCTTCAGGGTGCCGAGTCGAATGGTCTTGGTCCGAGAAAGCTGAGACGCTCCCTTCCTACTTGAATCCCAATCGAACTCGCGCACTTCCACCGAAACTGGGTGACTGCGCCCTACTAGATGGGGATTTGTATGCAAAATGTCACTAAAAGCGCCATTTCGTTCTTATAAAAGCACGGATGACCGCGATTGGCCCATATGTTGTAGTCTTTTGGACGCTGAGTCGACTGGTTTTGGTCCGAAAAGCCTGCGATGCAGCGTTCCTCCTTTATTCCCAATCGAACATGGTTGAAGAAGCGGTCACGTGCTCCTGGGTGCCCAAATCACCTGGTCACCAGGTCACCACGCCAGCAGGCGACAACTTTCACACCAAGGTTCAACTCGAGTTCAACTCGAGTGACAGAACTGCACCCAAAAAAGGTCAAACAGGCTAGTAAGTTAGTTGTACCCTGCAGGCACGGTGACCAGGTGACTGGTGTACGCAGGAGCACGTGACCGCTTCTTCAACCATGTTCGATTGGGAATAAAGGAGGAACGCTGCATCGCAGCCTTTTCGGACCAAAACCAATCGACTCAGCGTCCAAAAGACTACAACATATGGACCAATCGCGGTCATCCATGCTTTTATAAGAACGAAATGGCGCTTTTAGTGACATTTTGCATACAAATCCCCATCTAGTAGGGCGCAGTCACCCAGTTTCGGTGGAAATACGCGAGTTCGATTGGGATTCAAGTAGGAAGGGAGCGTCGCAGCTTCCTCGGACCACGACCATTCGACTCAGCACCCCGAAGACTACAACTGGTGAAATTTTAATTTTTGCCTTAACTTCCCCTTTAACACCAGCGAGCGTGCGGGAGAAACTGTGAGACCAGGGGTTGTGACTGAGAGGAGCGTCATTAAATTTTGTATTTTTGTATTTTGTATTTATGGATTATCCACAGGCCTTAGCCTAAATCGAGGGAGTCTCATGGCTGATCATGGCGAGTCGATTGTCCGAGCCAGTTGTGGTGCGTAGATACATGTAGGGATAGCCTACGAGAGCAGCATCATACTGATTCATCATACTGATTCATCATACTGATTCATCATACTGATTCATCATACTGATTCATAGCGAGTCGACTGCCCAAAGCCAGTTTGTGCTTCGCAGATGGCGATAAACGTTGGTCTTAACTTGCATTCCCTTCCTGTGGGGAGGCTGGGACAGAAGAACGGCGGGGAGGGAGTTCCAGTCACTAATACTGCAGTGTGGGAACGAGCGCTTCAATGCCAGCGGGACAGATGCAAGCAGCTGGTGGTCATGGCCAATGACACTGCCGTGCTCGCTGCGAGTTCTGGGGCTGGATGAGGGGAAATGGTGCGGTGGCAAAACAGAGAGCAGCTGCGGAGGGCCAGGCTAGGTAATAGTGCACCTGGACCGATGATTCGCACAGCACAGTGTTGGATATGATCCAGGCGTTGCAGGTAGCTGGGCGGAGCACCTAACCAGATGAGGGGGGGGGGGGGGGGGGCATACTCCATAACCGGTCGAACAAGTGCCTTGTGTGGTGCGGCCGGCTGGAGAGAGAATGTGCGCTGCACGGCGCAGGAAGCCCAGGCGTTGTTTTGCTCGAGCGGCAACCTTCCGGAGACGAGCGCTGAATGACAGCTTCGAGTCAAAGGTCACTCCAAGTAAAAAGAGAGCCTTCTCCTCAAGCCAAGGACAGGAGTGTCGCCGAAGACAATGCGAGGCAAATTGATGGGGGTTCTGCGGAGAGTGGCGGTCATGGCTTGGGACTTCGACGGTTCGAAGGAGGTGCGCCATCTCAGCATCTGCGGCCCCGCTGATGCGAGCGATCAACAGAAGTCTGGAGGTTCAATGTAGCGTCGGCTGGGGATGTGTTGAGGGATATCGGGCTGCACAAGGTTGTATCGTCGGCGTACGCCTCCAGGTGGGCTCCGGGTGAGAGGGCCTCTGACTCTGAGGCTTTATTCACGTAAATCAGGAAGAGTGTGGGGCCGAGTATGCTCCCTTGGGGAGCTCCTGCTGATAATAATGGTGTACAGCGATGAGGTTTGGCCGCCCACCAAGCATTGAGTGGACCGTCCACCTACATGTACATGTAGGTAGGAAGAGAGCCAGGTATGCATGCAGGGGGCCGCCTCTCATCCATGCGTCAGATCATGCCATAAAAAGGTCAAAGTTCACACAGAAATTTCAATCTACATGCAGATCCACTTGTTCATCCTTCCTGCATGCTGGGCTGTAACTTTGTTAGTAGTGTACATTGTACTTTATATTTATCATATCCCTTCATTTTTACACACACATGCGTCAAATGTTAACTCATTACACTGTAATTTTATGAAGTAACTTTCTTGGAGACAGGAAGCTTATCACTATCAGGGATAGAAAAATTACAAATCTCAAGCATCACCATCATCATCAATAAGGACCCCGAATTCAGGAACCAGTTTTCGGGCATTCTCTTCAAATGAATAATTACAAGCAACCAGAAGCAAAGAAACATAAGGATGAGTAGCGTCACAAGGGTGGTAACCAATACAACTACCAGTGGGGGAGAAATTAAGCGAAGTATTTACGCACAAGAGGAGATAATAAAAAGGGAAAGAGAGGGTGAGAAGTGAGACAAGAGGAACCAAAACACAACTTGAGAGAGATATTACATGTTTCTTTTGTTTACACAAAGGCGGCTGGGCAGTGTTACGTGCTCCTGGTCCCACCCATCTGAAAGTGTTAGAAGCTATTTACAGTGTATATACAGTCCATTCAGAAAAAAATGAACTTCTAGCTTTTGGCCACAAATGGGTCAAACGTTGAGTTTTTTTAGAATTTTTTTCTGCAATCCCATATGGAATCCTCTTCCAATTATGTTTCTGAAGTTTTTTTGTCCAAAAAGCAAGCCATAGCAAGAATAGGATTTCGGCCAGGTTTTGCCCCAAAAGCACTGAATTGGGAAAAACCATCAAAATCCAGGCCGTTTGACCCCGCCTGCAACAGTGCATTCTGCGGTTCGAACCCCAGTTCAGGCACCCTTTTTGGACCCTTTTTCAAATTTCAAAGTTCGCAGCACTGCACTGTGTACGATGAAATCACGAAAAATCGCCAAATACGGGAGCTCGCCAGAGCCAGGACCCATTTTTTTATGAATGGACTGTAGGCTACGCAGCCACCTTTGTGTAAACAAAATATAATGTAATATCTCTCCAGTTGTTTACTGAGTCTGACACCCCTCACCACAAGAGGAACTAAACACACACACCAAAATGGATGGCATCCATTTTGGTGTGTGTGTGTGTGTGTGTGTGTGTGTGTGTGTGTGTGTGTGTGTTTAGTTCCTCTTGTCTCACTTCTCACCCTCAGCTTTCTCTCTTTCCCCCTTCAAGTTTTTCTTATCTCCCCTTGTGCGCAAATTCTTCGCTAAATTTCTCAACCTGGTTGAAATGGTTACCACCATTGTGATTTGAGAACGGATTGAAATGTAAGATTGAATACAAAAGCTCTACAAGAAACCATTACCTAAATGGCCTACAGGCATGCAACGGCAAAGTCATGCCTCTGCCCGTGTCAGCACATGCAGCCGGCAGCAATATGCTAAGGGGCTCCCGACCTTGTGATGCTAACGTTACTCATCCTTTTTTTTCTTTGGTTCTGGTCAGGGAGTAGTACAATACCGGTATTGTACTACTCCCTGGTTTTCTGTCCTGGTTGCTTGTAGCAGTAATTCATTTGAAGAAATTCAAGAGAATGCCCGTTCATGAATTAAATTATTTTGGAGTCCTTGTTGATGATGTTGGTGATGATGAATAGCTCGAGATTTTTTCTGCGAATTCCATCCGCGGCTTTCCAAGGGCGCGGCCAGGGCAACGCAAAAATCCTTGCTTTGTCTTGCTCGTACCAAGACTGGCAAGAGTACATATTTTTATGTATTCTTGCTCGTACTGGTACAATACGATCTAAGTGCGTACAGCATGGTGCAGGGCGTTATGAAAATTAATGGCAATATTTGACAACCCCCTGGTGTGGTGTCGTGTCCAGGCAGGGAAGTCTTGCATGCACCGTGTCACCATCCTTGCCTGCAAAATGCAGGATGATAACAGTCAGCCTACACACAAAAGAACAGCATAAAAACTCCTAAAGAGATACAGGACTCCAAAGCCTCAGACCTCCCCCTGAAATCACTACTTCGAAGCACTCGTAGCTATGAGTTCAAGTCGTGAAAACGTGCTCGTTGGCCCATCAGTGCCACACGCCAGGAAAGAAATGGTCACAAGCAGAGCCAGTTAACTGTGCAGATCTTGACGCAAAGGCACAGACATCCCCTCCACACACACACACACCGACAACAAACCTGTAGTGCTTGAAATCACCTGCATACAAGATTCAGGCATCAACTCAATTTAGTTCGAGGCAATCTTGTATTAAAAATAGTACGCTCACCAAAAGTGATCAAAGTCAAAGGCATCCTTATAAAAGAGGAAATTGAGAAAATAATGCAACGTTCCCAATGACAAGAGACATCATGATTGAAGCTGTCAAGAGAGGTTACTCTAATAGTTGTAATGGTGCGAATCACGAGAGCACAACCAAGCAGATGAACTTGAGCTTGTATCAAGTAACACCAACAGCATTGCACCCAGGGGAATGCACGGCAGCAGATACGCAGGCCACAGCAAACCGCAATGGCTGCAGGACCCTGAGTAGCGTGGCAAACTGACTGGGTATGGCGATTCACTACGCCATAGAATGTCAGTGAAGAGGATCGCCGTAGAATGTCAGTGAAGAGGATCGCCGTAGAATTAGTAGATCAGCAAGGACATGACGATCTATGTCCATTAGAAATTTGTCTGCACACAGACAAGCACCGTGGACGAATGAGCAGCAGCAGCAGCATCGCCACCAAGCTGTCTGAGGAGTAGTCACAGCACTACCACACTACCACCTCCACCGGGGGGTCGTTAATATTGCAGCAGCCGGAGACTGTAGTACGCGATCGCTATCCATCCATGTAACTTCCATACCGAAGCGGCATGGGAAAAAGAACAATAGGAGAGAAGCAGATGCACGCTCTTGGCATGAGAAGTGGACCCACTATGAGTAGGAGCGCCGTTGTTCACCAGACGCAGAGAGATTAGCATCATTGACAAGCAACGGATCAAGCTCAGACGTACCACGCCTACGGGTAAAGTAGGGACGGAAATCATCCAAGTGGTAGATGACCATGCCGGCAACCAGAATGACAAAGCCGATAGGCTGCAGATACTGGAACTTCTGCCAGCCAACAGCAAGGGAGAAAGCCCAGATGAAGAGGGTGCGCACACTGTCCAACACCATGCGTGTCACTGCACTGATCATCTTGGTGACAGAGATGCCAGCAAAGTTGAAGAAAGCAATGCTGATGATGTTGAGCAGCACACCAGCCAGGATAAGGTTGTTGTTGCCAATCTGCCTGAAGCCATCAAGAGCATCCTCAAAACGAGCAGGCTCCAAGCCATTGATGGAGAAAGGGATGAAGTAAAAGGGAATCAGCAAGGTTGACAAGATGCAGAAGCCAAAGATGCCTTCCCAGCCAACAGCCTGCAAAGCGGGGACATTGTACTTCTTGACAAATTTCTCCTCCCACGTCATTTGGAATGCAACAATCAGCTACAAAAACACAGAGGAGATACAAAAGGAAATGCAATGAGACGCCACTACTTTGGTATGACAGGCCACCACACAATGGCAAGTACGTAAGAGTAGAGGGTGATCATGGTGATATACAGCATTACAGGAAGATGAATAATATGAGACAGTCTGAACAAAAGATAAAGAGAAGTGGACAGAGTTGTAAGGGGCCGTCCGTAAATATCGATGTTTTTTTAGAGACGATATTGGTGCGTCTGGGGGGGGAGGGGGTTTGAGCCATGTGCGTCTTTTCGAGCATCAGAAAAATATCGATGTAAATATCTGAAGTTTCGCCGATCCCTGTACAAGAAATGTGAAACCAGCTTCCGTTCGCGGAGCTAAAACTCGCGACACAAGAACAAAATCAAAAATTGGAAGCTGTACGCCCATGGCGAATTTCAAGAGCAAAAGAATGAGCTATTGATTGTGGAAATCGGCCGAACGATGCCTGCAGGAGACCTTTTTCAAGACGTAGAGGCAGTGCGAACAAACACGGACGAACTCCACAAGAGTTTCCAGTCTTCACTGTCTGAACAAGGATTTGAAAAAATTCAAGCCCGAGCGTAGCCGCTTTGGCTACACCAGTACACGATGGCTGTGAGCACTGCAGCGCCGACCCGGTTCGCTCCCCCCAGGCGATGCAGCTATTGCGTGAGTGCGGCGGGATTTTCACGCCTACACCGGACCCTCAACATCCTGGGCACTTCATGAGCATCCAAAAATATTGATTCCATGATCTAGATGTACATGTGCGTCTTCTGGGGGGAGGGAGGGGGGTCAAGGGAGAGAAGCACCAATATCGTCTCTAAAAAAACATCGATATTTACGGACGGCCCCTAAGGGGCCGTCCGGGGTTACCGATTGTTTTTACAAAACGAAAAGTTTTTGTATTTTCCGCCCCCACCCACCCACCTTTTCTGCAGGTAAAACGAATTCCAATAAAATATTGATGGCAATTTTCGACACCCAAAAGTAACTGGACATTCTCCATCTGCATTCAATAATTATTTTCAAAATGAATTTCCATCAAACCCACCCACCCCCAAACGAAATCTTTTCGTTTCGAAAATATTATTCGTAACCTTGGACGGCACGGCCCGTATTAAAGGCAGCCGGGAAAATAGCAGCACATTAAGCGCCCGATACGGGAGATAGAGCAATGTCCTGCGGTGGACTGCATGTATGCATATCACACAGAGCGCTGCACTAGAAGCCTGTAAACGAACTTTCATGCACCGACACCCACGCCCCCCCCCCCCCCTCTACACACACGCAAACTCACAATAGCAGCAAGGTGCTCCTTACCTGGGCAAGAACAATGATGATGTCACCTGTGAGACGGTTGCTCTTGGACTGAGCGCTGGCTCCTTCGTTGCCGAAGAGCGTGTCACTCAAACCGACAACAACCAATCCAATCACCACAACAACCATACCTCCCCACTCATGAGGCTACCAAACAAAACACAAAGCAGAACAAAAACAATGGTTGGTAAGGCAGCAAGAGTGATAAGACGTTCAGGTGCAGTGCCCTAGATTGAAGCATGTTCAGATAAGAGCTCCCGGAGACAGTAAGTACACTCTCCTATTCCCCATGGGGCACGACTTGTCAGGGATCTACTGTAGTACGTGAGCAGGGATAATAAAACGATGTTCACATATTGACTGCGATACTACATGTAGCCATGTGAGCATCTTTATCATCAAGTTCATCAACTGCTTCATACAGCGTTGCAGGAATTACGACACCATGAAAAAAAAGAGTGAACCAGGTGTCATGGAAATCGGACTCACCTTCAGGCGCTTGCCCAAGAAGACCATGGAAACGAAGCCAGTGAAGATAATCACGGCCGCACGCAACATCTGAAAGCTGCTCGCAAACGTCAAGGTGAGTCCAATGTACATCATGGACGTGCCACAGATATCACAGCAGGCCGGCACGAGAAAGATGATCGGGTTGAACTGAGCTGGCGGCTGTTCAGTGCGCTTGCGCTCTCGCTCCGCTGCGGCCAGGCAAACGCCGCTTTGAATCAACTTGAACACGATCCAGCAGCTGAACTCGCCAACAAACATACCCACCGCCTGCACAGTGGAGCACAGCACATAATAGGAAGCAACAGCATGTCCAAGTGTGTGCTGCACACAGGCAGCTGGCAGTTGACTTGGGAGGGGAAATGAAGACGTATGGTTAAGGAAGCATGGTGTTCCAGACCATGGACCTTGCAGACTTCACGAGCATGCACTACTTGTGTCTACTACAGTAACTTCTAACAGGGTTTAAGGGAGACGGCCGGGATAACGTGCTGGACAATCACCACGACGCAAGATGAGCACAGGTATGACACTACAGGTGAAATCCTGATAATTCGAACCTCAAAATGCCAGGAAAAAACTTCTAATTATCCGGACATTCTAATTACCCAAACATGAACCCACAAGACAATATGTATGTCAAAATGCTCTCATGGTCGCGCAGAGTTGCGCTATGGACCTTAGACACAAATTTTACGGACACTGAACTGACCGGCACAGCCTGCTCGTGCAAACTGAACTGACCAGTACAGTGTACAGTGAACTTCGAATTACACTTTGCTAACTTCGAATTATCAGCACAAATCCCACACATTTTCTATGTAAGTGGAATCTGTGGGACTTCTAATTAACCGGACATGTCCAGTTCGAGGTTCGAATTATCAGAAAATTTTATGTGGGAATCGTACTGCTAGAAATCGGTCCTGGAAAAACTTCTAATTAAGCGGGATGTTCGAATTAAGCCATAATTATTCGAATTATCAGGATTCCACCTGTACAAGGCATTCAGCGAGCAGTAAAGTATGGACTTAGAACAACAAAGAATAGGACTAACTGACAACACGCACGCACGCACACGCACACACGCACACACATTATCTCGAAGAGAAACAACCACACAGGAGGACTGACCTGAAGGAAAGGATGGGAGAACTCATGGCAATACGTTGAGTTGTCATACGGATAATCAGTGCAGTTTTCACCTTTCAAAAACACTTGACACGTATCTTCAATCGGCTTCGGGTGTGTCGTGTTGAGGTAGTTCTCAATATAAAGGGTTTCATTCGGACAACTGCCGTCACCAGTGGCGTGCACACCAGGAACACCGGGAGCCATCATCTTGTCTGCCCATCTGAATCACCAAAAATACCAGCAATGCCAGCAAACACGAAGGTCATCAGAGAATCAATAGCAATGCCTATTGTGCATTTCAAAACCATCTGAAGTAAAAGACCTCCATCATTTCATTCTGAAGAAACAGATTGGAGAAGGCTACGACACTGAGCTGCAGACATAGGCACGCATGCAATGTACAGAAGAGTGTCAATTATCCGCACCCCTGGGAAAGTAGAGCCGATGCAGCTTATACTACGATGGTCCAATGAACCGTGAAATACATGGTAAATGTCTGTATTTCGTGACAACAAAAAACGGGTGCGGCTTACACTCCAGAAAATATGGTATGCTCGGATTCGGGAGTGGGCACAAACCCATCGACATGTACATGTACATTTCCCGTTATCATCTCTTCTTCTCGTTCTCTTTTGGCAGTACCACAGAACACACTCTCCAGCTCCTCAAAATTGCTCATGGGGATTAGTTTAGACTATTGCTGACACCTTGCTTTCACACATCCTGCGCACTGGTGCTATGAATGGTACTGAGAGTGGTAAACAATTTTTCTCTCTCCCTCTCTCTGCTGTCTGTTGCTGCACGCCAGGAAAGCTACGTGAATACCAAGTCCAAAACCGGGAATTGTTCTTGTCTCGCCATTTCACTTGTGCTGGCTCAAAATCATTCAAATTTTCTAACAAACTCACAAAAGTCGTGACAACAAGCGCTAAGCGTGATGTCATACGCTCCATGGGCAGGAAACAGGGGAAATCCCACTTTTGAACGAATTTTGCACTTTGCTGACACGTGATAATGAAGCAAAAGTTCGAGCGCTCGCCACGCCATTATACTAGCTCGTATCGACCTGGGAGTTTTTCCGAGCTGACGGGTGAGAATCTCTGCTACCCGGTGGGCATTTCAAATTGTTGTACAGTGCGTATCGGTTATAGCGTGGTCGTGTAAAAGAATATACTGCCTACAAGAGTGAACTCTCATGTGTTTCATAATCAGAACATGGATTTCAAGTGCACGTCTATTCTTACAAGCAATTTTATCCCATAGTACAGTGCTGGCAACTGAAATCCGACCCCCTTGCCGGCGCGGCGGCAAGGGGGTCGGATTTCAGTTGCCAGCACTGTAGAATATATCGGTCCTAAGAATAGACTTTGTGTAGCAAACATGCCAGATTAGTACAAAGTGTATCGCCTGTAGTAATAACATCTGTCCAATTCCGTTCTGATCTGACTCTCGTTGCTTCGTAGTGCTGCAGATTCAACCGTTGTGGTCGTGTAACTCATTTTACATAGCCACATGGTAAGCCTATGGGACTATGACCAGCCACATGCGCACATGCATGTGATATGCCACACTTGATTTATCGTGTGTAAGAAACATCGGAAATAAGAATAGAAAGTCGTTTTTCAAACACCCACGCTATAACCGATACCTATTGTACTTTGCAAAACTGTGATGCATACGCTCACGCTAGGAATACTTTTTTCACCAGCAGGGAAGAGGTAATGGCCAAAGAGCATGTTGTCCGACTCTCTGTGACCAATAACGGAGTCCGACTCTCCGCGACCAAGAACGCAGTCCTAGCTACGGCATGCCACTCAGTTAAATGGGCGTTACCATGCTCTATTATTTTAACTGTGACTGCTAGTATTCAGGTGCCTCGCGCTCAGGGTTCAACGACAACGCGACAGCCATTTTCACGTCGTATCAAACACTAGAGCGAAATTTCCAACAAGAAGAGAATCCTTCAGGCCAGAACCATTTGCGCGTAATAATTCAAAAAGCAAGGAACCTTTTTTTTCGCGTTAACATCCTGCAGTACCGCGACAGGACCACATGCAATACATGCACTGCATTATCAGTTTATCACTGTTAAGGGCGTGCTCACACTGCGGCAAGACGCTCGCGCCCAAACGAGAGCATGATGCAGAACGGTGATGGTTGCGCTTACACGCCGCCTAAAAATGCCAAAGAGAGGCGCTGCGCTTCCAAATTTCTTGACGTTCGGAAAAATTGTTTAAAGGTCAAGTTCAAATCACTACAAGTGTACTAAATGAGTTTTTACAGGCAATGAGCATTCTTATTTCATGCCAAACCGGGACGAAAAAACAAACCTCAACACTGGCGGATGGCCGATTTGTTCTTCTTCACAAGGGGCAGTTTTCCTCGCCATTGAAGTAGTTCTAAATTTCCTACCGATGGGCACGCACATTGATTCTGGCCCGGTTTCATTCGAAATACGTTTTGCGTCCATACGACTAGACGTCCATAGTCATGGCACCCCGCTTGAGCCTTCAGTCAAGTTTGAAACGTAATTGTGACGTTTAGGTCATGTGTATGCTGTTGCCCTGCAATATGGCCGCTTGACCACACGGAAGCGTGTTTTGGTCGCAGGGTGAGAAAAGCGCCCATTATTACGTGGTGTAGAATGCATGGAGGGATCTGGCAGTCTGAGCTCAACCCCCCCCCCCCCCATCCATGCTAGTGTGTAGGGCCATGTCCAAGGCAAGGGTAATTTGCCAAACCGTTGAACCGTGCAGCGCACATATTCAGAATCAGGGTATGAAGTTTGAACTTCTGGTCACCCCACATGTACTGTTGCATTGACTGCCACGAACAGCAGCTGGATAACACACCTACAGCTTTGCTACAGGTGGCGTAGCAATTGTCCCGGGTTCCAAACCACTTGCATAGGGACAAAAGGCAACCATATCTCAAGAAACTTGAAAGGGGGATTGAACCTTACACAGACATCGTGTTTCGAACACAACCAAGATATCTTTTCAAACTTGCGAGCTCGGCAATACTCAGAAGGTTCCGGATCAACCCACAAACACAGATCATCAGTACCAGCATTTTTTTAAAAACATAACACACAGCGATACACCACGAGTACACGCACACACAAACAGCCAACTAACTAATACTTACTTTGTAGACAAAGTGTTGATACAACCCGTGACGACCATAAGAAGGGCGATGGCAATTTTTACTCCCCTACTCACTGCCATGGCTAAGCAAAACTACCGGTGATACTGCACTCCAGCGATGAACTAAAACTAAACGTCTCTGACTTCCAAAAAAAGTACCTGCCCGACTAACAGGCCTAACTATGGGAGACAAAGACGAAATCTTCAGAAGTTCGGGTAATACGGTTAGCTCAACAAGAAACACATGCGATGTCTCCACTCTCCAGTGCTCTTGATCTTTGTTGCTGGCGCGTGGGCGACACAGCCTGAAAAGGCGAAAAGAGCGCCGCGCCACGAAACTGCAGCGCTAGCATGCATGCATGCAGTGATGTGATCGTCGCCATTTTCTATTATGACGCGCTTGCGCGGAGAAACGCCTGCTGCCTTTGAACTGATCAGCAGCTGAATTTCTACTTGCAAAGGGAGGCTGAGGGCAGTGAGGCTGCAAGTAGATCTGCTTTGTAAGTTGAGGGTAGTTGAGCTGTCCAGTGTTGCCGTTGCGGCATAGTTCACGGTCCAGATAGAACACAGACGTATTGCCGAGGGATATTCGCTCACTTCGTTGATCGAAGTGGCGTCCAGTTTGCGCTTGGCGTTTTTAGTAACTGAGAGCAGTTGTCCCCTGCCGAGGACGGGATGAGTTCCGAACTAGATCAACTCCGTCAGGAGGCCGAGGCGCTGAAGAATCAGATCAAGGTAACGGAGAATCGTGTAGTGTTGACTACAGTACTGGGCCAAGTCCAAAAAGCAAACACCTTGTGTGGCTGTTTGTCGGTTCTGTTCCTTATTGCTTGAAGGATGCGAGAAAAGCTGCATCGGATACAACTCTCCTTCAGGTACGTTCTGATATGTTTGCGGGGGCGAACTGGACTCGCTGTATGCTGGGGCGTAGAGATGCTTCTCTCGTTATTTTGTAATGTACTGTTCTCTTGTCCCTCAACTTGGTCTGGCTGTATTCAATGCGAAGGTATACGATTCGGAATTCGAATCGAGTTTTCAGTAGCTCTTTCTTTATGTTTTGTGTACGGAACAGGTCGCAAATGACATCGAAGGAGTTGGTCGCATCCAGCCAAGGAACCGCAAGACCCTGCGTGGTCATTTAGCTAAAATTTATGCTATGCACTGGGCGAAGGACTCCAGGTTAGTCGTCATTCCAAGGCCTTTGCTGGAGCTTTCTGAGAAGGAAGAGATACTTACAGTTCACTTGAATGGACACTTATCTTGCCATACTTGAACTGTCGGTACGGTATTCTCTGTTTTTCGTTTGCAGGTACCTTGTCAGTGCATCTCAGGATGGCAAACTCATCGTTTGGGATGGCCACACCACGAACAAGGTGTGTGTGCGTGTGCTTGCTTCTCGTCGCTGAGTTTTCTTTGCATTGTTTGCATCACCGAGCTACTGACAGTACTGGGCTGTTTTCTGTAACCTCCCTTGAATAGCAGGATGCTGAGTCCTAGCCATTTGCGCTAGAAGATTCCGTATGCCAGAACGAAGCCAACTCTAGACTTTCTGTTTTGAGTTGTCTTTGCTTATTGGATCCGACTTACAATTCCGCTGTTTTCGTATTGGCGGAGGCTTTATGATCAACCTTGCCTTCCTGACTTCGTGGTGGTGGCTGTAGTGGACACTGCCTGTATGTTACAGTTGTAGATAACGATGTTGCTATTTTGGCCTGTGTGTGCTCTTGGTGTGCAGGTTCACGCGATCCCACTGCGATCTTCGTGGGTGATGACCTGTGCGTATGCACCTTCTGGCAACTTCGTCGCATGTGGAGGACTGGATAATATTTGCTCTATCTACAGCTTGAAAACTCGGGAGGGAAATGTACGAGTGAGCAGGGAGCTACCTGGCCACACCGGTAAGCTTGTGCTGTGCTGACTGTTTGAGTGCACAAGTCACAGCCGTCCTTACACGATCCTGGGCTGTCATTCAGTTGTATGTGTCTTGAGACTTCTTCTGTGCTCTGCCCTTGTGGCTGTTGAGTGTTGTTCCCGTGGTTCTGGATTTCAGTTGCATTGATGTAGTGAGTCGTTGCTAGCTTTATCTCAGTAGTGCAAGTGGCGAAAGTGAAGTACACTGTCACTATGTCACATGGCCCATGCAGATATGGCTGGTTGAATAGCTGAATAATCTCAACATTCTGTTGAAGTGCTGCTCGTGCTCCGTGACTATCTACTCTGGTAGATGAGCTTTGCCATTGGCTGTCGATTTGAATCAGCTTTCCTAAAGAAATCAAGGAACAAACAGTACACACTCGACAATGCATAGAACCAAGTCGTGTGGTGTTTAGAAGTACACTGAAATGGGCAATTCAGGGCTGTTGGACATTGCGCTTTATCAGTGTGAAGTAACTATAGTTGTGTTTAGCTGTCTAGTTCAGGGGGGGGGGGGTCTTGGCTGTGTTTGGTGGGGGTGGGCCCATCAGTCCCACGTGTCGTTCAATTATTCTTTGGAACTGAGCATTTCCCACTTCTAATCATGCAATCAGTAACATGACCTTATTCTTGTCTATTATTAAATGTGTGCTGCTTTATTCCACCTAGCCTAGGATATTATAAAATTGTAGTGATATTTAGTTCAGGCTACTCTAGCACCACATCCGTTGGTACTTTAGTTGCCCTGAGACTGTTCTTGCCCCACGCCTACTTGAGTGATGCAATCGTATGCAGCATAGGAACGTTCCACGCTTGATGCAGTAGTAGCACATGGGTTTGTGCAGTCCTCAAAAACAGAAATTCACATGTGACAGTGTACCCTGTTTCTGGTGTGCTGCATGCATAGCGCCCATAAAAGTGTACCTGAAACCACTCGGGGGGGGGGGGGGGGATAACTATTACTTGCTATATTTGCTTGTGACGTTTGAGCCATGTCACATCAAGGGAGTGGTGCTATAGGCTAGCTCTGGATAGAGGTGCGGGATGTCCATGCTTTTTGGTTGTGTGTTATGTTCTTTCAAATTATATATTCTTGATGCTAATTCCCTTGAATATGTATTATGCACATCTCGCTAATGTATTGTGTTGGTCATATCTTGCACATCTTCCCTGATTGTCTGCTTGCAGGTTATCTTAGCTGCTGTCGCTTCCTTGATGATCAGCGGATCCTGACCAGTTCTGGTGACATGAACTGCTGCTTGTGGGATATTGAGACCGGACAATCGACCACATCCTTCCAGGGCCATACTGGTGATGTCATGAGCATTTCTCTGGCTCCAGACCAGAATACCTTCATCTCTGGTGCCTGTGATTCCGCCGCAAAGGTATGAGTTGCTTAACTGATGGTATACATCATACCGTTATACATTGGGAACGGAGTTTATTGCTGGGACTCTGAGCTTGATGTTGATGACCGCCTTAGCGTGAGACTCATTCCCAGCAAGAAACTTGTGTTCTCTCTATACCCAGTGTGTCAATGGTCCTGCACCGCGTTTACATCGGGTACTACTAGTATTGCAACAACAGTGCCGGTCTTTGTGTATCACTGTTAGTCATCTTCCTGTTGATCTGCGATGTTTTGTCGAAGATTATTTCAATTCATTCCCTTCATTGCTTGTGTGTGACTCAAGTATGGTGCCTGTTTTGTGCCTGCACATTGCTTTGTGTGTTGCAGTTGTGGGATATCCGCAGTGGTAACTGCGCACAAACATTCACTGGTCACGAGTCCGATATCAACGCTGTGGCCGTAAGTGCTGCCTTGTGCTGTACTGCTGTATTCTACATAAAGGTTTGCTTTTGGAAAGTCTTCCAGGAAAATACCTAATGGCTAGAAAGTGAAGAGGAACCTGCGACACAGTTGTTTATAAAATGTACAATCACTCTGTACGTTTAGTTTTCGATGTTTGGTTATTGTAACCCTTGCTGTTTGGGATATTTCATGAGTTACACGCGCTCGTCTGAGCCTGGGTGCGGTGATATGCACTGGGGGTTGGATTTTACTGTACAAGCAGAAATATTCATCTGGAATTTAATTTCGTCTTTTTCGTCCAAGGAGCTTTGAGACTAAATTAAATGACGGACGAATGTCGATTTGTACAGCGTTTCAATACACTGTTTTAGTCCATGGACTAAATTTTCAACCGGACGAAATCCCTTTCTTTGGAGTTGGACGAAAATACTGACCGACTAAATTTTCTGCCTGTACAGTATGTAGTACAACTGTGTATATTCGTTGTACCGTAAAGTACCGTTGATCCGCCCCCTCTCTAATTCCCGCCCCCTGTCGATTTTCTCCTTGTGAAGCGACTTCGGCGTATACAACGAAATACGATGTTGAACCGACGCATGCACTGCTGTACACAATACTTGCCAATCCAGGATCAAAATGTGCACAATCCAGCACATTGAGTCTGGTCCTCTACGTTGTTGTACATCGTACTGCACTTGACAGCCTTGATCTAATTCCCGCCCCCTGCCGAAAACCCAGCTGGGAAGCGAAATGGCGTGGGGGCGGATCAACGGTACTTTACGGTAGTTGGTAATTTTGCCTTCTTTGAGTAGCGGATTTGTTTAATTTGTCTCTGTTCTCTATTGCCTTTTTTGCTTGCAGTTTTTCCCTAATGGACATGCCATCGCCACTGGATCTGATGATGCGACATGCCGCCTCTTCGATATCCGTGCTGACCAGGTAGGTTCATTTTTTGTTGGTCAAAATCATCATAGTTTTGTCTGGTACACTTCAATGCGTACTTGCCTAGTTTGGTGAGTAGTGTTTTGTGCAGATTTGTGAAACCGACTACAATCCTATCCCAGTCATCCGAATCCTGATTTTACCCATACATTGGTAGATTTTCTGTTGCTTTTTCGAGTTTCTGGGCTGCTGCACAACTTTGTATGTAGATACACCTGCTCTGCTTCCTAGCGATAAGAGTACAAATATTGGAAAAGAGACCGCATTGCTCTAAGGATGGAAGAGCCCCCTGGATAATCATACATATCTTCAAACCACCTTGACCGGAAGTGTTCGAATACCTGCCCAGGAATGTATGGATTTTTTTAAATCTCCTAGGCTATTGGTGGCATCTAGCAATTTCTTTAGGATTGATGGAAGATTGGCATGTTTGAATTGTATTGTTCTCTTTTGCTTTGTTTCTTTGTCCCATCCAGGAACTTATTACGTACGCCCACGACAACATTATTTGCGGCATCACATCGGTTGCCTTCTCTCGCAGTGGACGATTGCTATTCGCTGGTTACGACGATTTCAATTGCAATATCTGGGACACTCTCCGAGGAGAACGTGTTGGTGTTCTTGCTGGTCATGACAACAGAGTCAGCTGCTTGGGTGTGACAGAGGATGGTCTTGCTGTGTGCACTGGCAGCTGGGATAGCTTCTTGAAGATTTGGAACTAATGTGAAGAATATTGTATGTGGCACCCCCTTGCGCAAGCCTTTAGTTACATACAAGCCGAGAAGCAGCAGCGATAAAGCCTCCGTCCAGTCTCTGGCTCTGTGACCTACACTGGTTATCGTGGTAGTACAGTCAATGGTAGGCTTACTGCATTTACATACCCTCATACTTGTAGATGGTGCTTCTCTTTGAAAATACAAAATGCATGGCGTGACTTTTTGTCTGCCGCTCCCCTCAGTTGTTGTTTCGGCTCGTTCCGGTCATGGAACAACTGTGTCATTGTCTCCCCCCATTCCCCCAATTGAAACTAGTTGCATGCTGCACTCCGCTCATACATTGGGGTCAAACTAAGTCATAACACTCTACATATCTTATCACATCTTTTGGTTTTTGGCAATCGTTTTGTGTAGCCACACAAATAGGTAATGTTCTTATCTCCAGCTCAAGCAACAGGTCTTCCGCATCATATCTGTCCTATCTCCTCCCTCTGTTTACTGTAGTGGGTTCACGCTCTTACGTGCCTTTTTTTTCCTCCGACTTTTGTTTCTCAATGTGTCGTCGTTGTATATTGTAATTAGCTTTCCAACCAATTTTCACATATTCCGTATTTCAACCTTCGACTTTGCTGTCTCACTACAGAGCTATGTTGCGGGAGCTGTTGGTTAGCCTTGTTATATGGCTGACTTTGTGTCTAATTCCTATCAATCCCAGCAACACTGACTGATGACTGATGTACATGTTATATCTCGTGTTTGTGCGTGTGGTGAAAAAAACGTCGCCCAAGTCAGGACAGTCCACCGAATGCCTGTGTGATGCCTTTTGTGGAGCATTTTTTTCCGTTCTGTTCCTCTCTGAATCAATCATTCCATGTATGGCCAGAAATGTACAATTTGGTGCAATGTCTTCACGACATGGCAGATATGATGCTCTATTTTCTGAATTGGGGCCAGTCTTGTCGCAAACTGAAATCGCGATGCACCATCAAGACTCGACAAAGACCTAAACTGAACAAGAAGGTTTTGTTGTTTGAAGCTTGCGCTGCTTGATCTATTGGTTTTTACCTGCTTCGCCGTATGTTCAATTCCACTTGTAAAATCGCATAAACGCGATTTTCGCCAAAAATCGCCGCCATATTGTTAGATGGCCGGCCGCGTACGAACTGCTAAGGGCCTCCGCCAGTGCAGTATTGCTGAAAATACTGCACGAGACGTGGACAAATCAGAATCAGGGAATATAAGGGTGCGTTCTTATATTCTCTAGCTTCTAGAAGAAGAAGAAGAAAAGAGAAGTCGAAGAAACTGGGATTACTCAAGAACGGGTCTCGGAGTATTTTGCACATGTCAAGCAAAATGAAGCGTCAAAGGGGCCGCGATCTTGAGAGATGAATGTATGTGCGTATGCGAAAAGGGAAATGCGTACACTCATGATGAACACGTGGCTTTTAGTCGTAGTTCGCATGCGCTGATCCCAAACCGCGGGAATCTCCAAGTTTCAACCACCTCTGAAGCTTGGAGAGCTTTGGAGAGCCTCCTAAAAGTCGGAGAGGATATAAGAACAGCTCTCGAACTTTTCGGAGAGTCTCCAAATTTTCCGAGAGGATTTAAGAACGCACCCTAATGTAAACCTCCTTGACTGCACTTGTAATGGGATCCATGCAATTAATGTGTGATAAGCATGGAAATGACATTTGACCCCTCCCAAATGCAAAATACCCGGATAACCGAACACCGGTTATGTTGGATGCATCACGTATGCTGTAAATCTGCAACCAGCTATTTTTTTCCAGATGTATATGTAGGGCATGGCGAGGGATCCAGATACTAGTAGTAAGCGAGGTCTGACTGTATCAACACGACTGGGCGAGTAGAGATCACAACAAGATTATTAATTTTATCATAGCGGCCACAATTTTTTTGTAGATGTATATGTATCTCTTAAACTGTCACCAGCAAATCCTATAGGATTTGGTTTCTGGCTAAAGGATTTTGATAAACAACCTATGCAAACCTATACAAATTGATGAAATGAGTTTCATGAGGTGTTTGGAACAGTTTTCGATGCACTCCCATGGGAATTTCAAGCCGATCGGCCAATTTTCCGGGTGAAACTTCCGCCATAGTACAGTTAAAAGCACTAGATGTGTCAACCTGTGGAAGTACACCTCAGTCAATCACAGACTTCTATTCATGGTATCTTTGTACTCATTCAGTGTACCGAGGACTTCTATACTGCTTTCCCTGCCAGTTCTATCATCATCTGCATCCACTACAACACTCTGGATACTGCAGAAAACTCAAATCCTATATACATGAAGTAGAAATAGTATTGCCTTCTCCCCCTCCCCCGCCACACAGCAACACACCGTTCAGTTAGCTTCAATACTAGTATTCACTTGTCAATAATAAACGGCGAGGGCAGAGGAGGAGAAAGACGAAAACAAGACTCAACAAAAAGACAACGGGAAAGACTCCCAGGAAAAGACTCAAAGAAAACAACAAGAACACTGAGCAGTAATATTGCGACGACAAATCGGGACGACCAATCAGGGACTAATATGTACAGAACACATGACCAAGACCAAGACAACCAGACCATGGACGAATCACACATGACTCTCATTCCCAGACCAAACTAGCACTGACAGTCACTCTCACACAGACAGAAGCAGATCCTCACATTCTGACAACGCGTACTCTTGCATGCACCACATACCATAAACGTCACACATCACACCATACTCGCACGTACACTTAGACCATATATGACATCAGACACTGGACTCCACAAGACAAGAACCGAATACAACAACATGCGTAAATCATAGTCGAACAGAAATCCGCAACATACAGGTCGTCCCCCTTTAGTACGAGTCCGGTTAGTACATAAACCCCGTTTATAATAGTACACATGAAATCTCAAGTCCCGGACGAAATGTGGTCACTTCCATACAAATTTTGCCGGTTAGTTCATAATTCGTTAGCCCATAAACCCCATGCATTAGTACATAACATTTCTCAGTACCCGCATGCCACCTACCTCATCATCATCATCATCATCATCACAAGCCCATAGCCCTAAGACCGTCGGGGCGTCACAGAGCAAGTATGAACAAGCGAGCGCCATAAAAATCGATCGCGTGCAGCAGCTAGTAAGGACTGTACGTTGGTCTTTTCGCCTTCCAGTGGAGGCACATCGTGTTCTAGTTTCTACTTGTGGACACAATTAGCTCAGAATTCAGAATGCACATCACAAACCGACAAAGCTCTGTTTTTTTTCACGAGTGATTGTACAGGCGCGGCTGGGCATGGACCATATACTGTAGAATCTTCGCTGACTGTGACCGTTATAACATAATTATTTTTTATGTTATATCGAGGGAATCAAGAATCTCGCTCCCTAGCCCTAGTCATGGTAGCAAGAAACACTCAGAAAAGTTGAAAAAGTGAAAAATTCTGGTACTCGTACACAAGCAAGTAACGCACACTTTCGTCACACAAAGTTTAGTACATAAACCCTGTTAATACATAACATTTGTCAAGCCCCAGAGATAATGTATTAACTTGTGACGAGGGACGACCTGTGTAGGATCTGTAAAAATACTGAAATGTCCTCCCTAAAACATCTCTATAAGTCAAGCGGTAACACTGGCACTCTTGAAAACTTCTGAAGAGAGCCAACGGATGCTGCCCTAACACCTTACAGTACAATTCGGGCACACGACTTATCCCGGGGGGTGGCATGATCATGATTTTTGAAAAAGCCTATAATTATATACATGTATAGGATTTGACAGTTTTAAAAGAGATAATGTGGTGTCGAGCATTTTGGCTGGGAAAAGATACATCAGGAAACCTTGTACCCAGCTACACTGAGGTGTTCTACAAGTATGTCGAAAATTATGAGTCCATGGGTACGCCCTGGCCTAGATACCGTATTTTACCGGTTGTAAGTCGACCCCCCTATCTGAAGGTCTCAATTCTGCGTTTTAAAGTTTTCACCCAAAGAAGCACTACTAACCACCTCCTGCTACTAACACATCAACAAATCATGTAAACATTCCTCATTGGAGGATATAACGTCCCAATCCTTGAAAAAGGCCAATAAACTGGCAAAAATGTGTAAACATGGTGCATGCAGTGCAGGTCATTTTGTGTAAGATACTGATAGTTCCCGGTTATAAGTCGAATCCCGGTTGTAAGTCGACCCCCACCCTTTCTCCTTCTATTTTAAGTCGTAAAAGGTCGACTTACAACCGGAAAAATACGGTATATGCCAAGAACGTCCATGTACGTCCGAGTGTGGTATTATAATAGACCTTATGCACGTTGTACAGATGTACGAAGTTCTGCACTAGGACCGTAGCCTAGGTGTGTACAGATCCGGTTGGGTGTTCATTGTGTGCTATGCATGTGCATTTGACCAATTTTAGCTTTTCTAGCTTCTTCACTTTGGTTAGAACTAACAACTAGCTAGATCTTAGTCAGAAAAAGTTTTCGTATGAAATGCCTCCAGGGCCCATTTCTTAGTGGAAATAGCAGAAAACACAATAGGGTCCTGCACATTCAACACCCAACCAGGCCTACGGGATTCTACGAGATTCTACGAGATTTCGTTCCTCTGTACAACGTGCATAAGGCTTATAGGCCATCCACCACTGCAACATGATGGATGATTACCTGCATGCTTGTCTTGCTCTGTCTTCACAATCATGCCATGGTTGCTTGACTTGTTCCCCATAAACCTGGAGCTGTGAGCAGAATCCTCAGGCATCAAGCACTCCCGGCACAAGATAGAACTGAAGGCATGAAAAGCTATTCCTTGAGCAGCATTGAAAAGATACACTGCACGTGCCAGATTGCCATGTAGAAAAAGAAAGAGGTGCATTGGCCTTAGGACAGGCCACGTAGGATGCACATGGGAATGGTGCACCTCTGCCGCATGGCAGCAGTACAGGTTACAGTGTTACCCACTTTCTTTCAAACACTCAGTCTCCACGCCAGATAAATACTTTCTAAATCATGCACATGTGTCTAATAACGTTAATTCAGGCTGTGCTATCTTGTGTTCTTTTTTTTCTTTTTTTAAACACGAAACTCCTAGTAATAGCAAAGGAGATGTGGTTATGCCGTTGCTGCATGCTTCCTGTAAGTAGACATGCATATTGATAACACAAAAGAATGAGATCTCAAGAACTAAATTATCAAGTAAGGCATCTACTGTAAATGCCAGCAGACCAGTGCCATACCCACACCAGGTTTTCAGCAACAGCATTCGGAGACCTGCCAAACAGGCACAATCAGCAGCTAATGGCTCCGATTACTTGGCTGTCAACATGTAGGTCACCGAGTTAGAAGTCAAGATGCACGTGGAAGAAGGCTTGCCGTCCACCGCATCAACTTGGCCAGGAATGAATGTGAGAGCCTTGGCCTGCCCAGCCTACAGGAGCAAGAGAGTATTCAGGTACATGTCACCAAGAGTCCATAACCCCAAGAATGGACAACTAGGGTCTGGCTGCTGTAGGCCTACTGCGCGGCGGAATTCCAACATTACGTCATGCCGCTGAGGCACAGAGGATGAAAACTCCGCATCTTGCGGTGCTTCGAACCAGGGAGTAGTACAAGCGCATTTTCAACGTAATGTTGGAATTCCGCCGCACGGATCCCCATGTACAGAGTTGCACTCTCTTGGGGTTATGGACACTTGATGTCACCAGTAGAGCCACATGCATGTGCACAAATGCACGCACGCGCACACACGCATGTACCCTAACACCCACGCACGCGCACACACACACACAGGCGCGTACGCAGGGTCACCTCTAGGGGGGTTTCCAACCGAATCCCAAACAATGAGTTTTAATGTTTTAACCCTTTCTAAAGAGCCCTAGGAAATTTTCAAAATTATGCATTTTTTCGTGTTGTTTGGATCATAACTTCAGTTCTACTCACTCAATCTTCATAATCTTGGGCTTCCTGGAAGTGGAAAGGTACCAGGGAGAGAATGAGGTCGACCCCGATAGCTAGGACACAGTACAGTCATGTACATATCCAGCGCGGTAGAGTGCAGCGACGGTGCGAAAAATGCCCCAAGCAGGCCCAAACGCGTCCTGCTCCGGCGATTTCGTTTTTCTTGATCGCAGAGTTTCGATTTTTTTGCTGTGTACTCTTGAAAATATCACAAGTAAAGCCCCTGCAAATTTGAGCAAATCAGCGCGACGAAAATCTCAAATTCTCGATACTCAAGTCGCACTGTGCGCTTTTGAATTGCCGAGATCGCGGCTCAACTTACGAATGATTTATCTCACGATACATTGCTCGCAGCGCTTCGCAAATTGTTTCAACCGACAGCTGAGAATTTTCTATTCGACCTGGATATTTGAATCATTGGTTTGAGCGAGATTTGACTGAGTTACGATCTTTTGAAGGTTTGCATTCTTGCCAGATCGATCATGCGCCCTACCAAAAAATGCCCAAAAACGTTGCTTGTTTGGAACATTTGGGGGGTTTCCGGGCAACGGGAACCCCCCCCCCCCCCTGCGTACGCGCCTGCACACACACACCGTGGCACCCACACGCGCACACGCACACTGCAGCAACGCTCCCTGGTTTCTTTTAGCATGTGCGTAACTCCTGGCCATTCAAAACCA